TAGGCCATGCAATCCAAGATGCTCCAAAGGTTTCGACTACATCGGCTGGAGTAGGAGATGCCGGTGGATAGAGGAAAAGGCTTCTTAAACTTAAGACTTCCTGTGCAGGGCCTAATGCAGTTATTTTTTGTTTTTCTGTCAATTTCTATGCAGAAGACGTGTGTTCATAAGAACGAGGCATGTAAGTTACCAGAGCAAAGAAAAACCCCGGATGGGGTACTAATTAAATGTGGGTGTTTTTGCCAAATTATCCCTAGCGGCTTTTTGTTGACTGACGCCTTCGGGCGCAGTTGTCTGAGGATGCATCGCCAAGCTCCCACATGACCTACAACAGTTAACAGGTTTACGGTGGAAATGAGTGTAGGGATTTGGCAGCTCAAAAGTCTTATCACTTTTGCAATGAACGAGGTTCATTTCGAATTGAGGCAAATTTTCGCATTCCAGGAACGTGTATATTTTGAGAAGAAGTTTTATCGAACGCCGGAATCATTATTTTATTGGTCTGAGCTGTCAGGCTCCTGTAGGAATCCATCGTCAGAGATGGTAAAACAGCAACAAATTCCCATCCAACACGCCGATCTCGCTCACTAGCACAGACTGACATTGTCCGCAGTGGCGAGTCGACGGCCAAACCACGCAATTATTGATTTTGTACACGTTCGAATTTTAGTTGTTTTGTAAATACGCCAGAACTAGCCACCTCATTTGTTGTTGTTTTCCCATCTCTGACGATGGACTCCTGCAGGAGCCAGAAAGCTCAGACCAATAAAGTAATGATTCCGGTGTTCGATAAAACTTCTTCTTCTCAAACTCATTTCCGCAAAAGCGTACCAGCCGCTACGCTGCTCCCTTCTCCAGCGCCCTCACGTTAATCGAAGACCATAACATCCGCGTTAAGCTATAGATATTTCACTAATATCGCAGGCCATGACCAGAGCCGAGTCCTGGCTGCGTTCACACCAGGCTACCTTTCGCACGTTAACTGGCGTGGTTTGTCACCTTTTGGCACCCTGTACTTATGCCCGCTGCCCTAACCCTTTGAAACAGCCAATCACATGTCTTATCGGTCGCCCCATGACTACCTCACCGCTGTTCACCCGCTTCGGAGCATACGCCTCTTTCTGCCCCACGAGCAAACAGCCCTCTCACAACAATCCGCCCTTCTAATCAAATTAATCGCTCCTCACAGCTCCTTAAACGGAACGAATTTAGTATGTGCAGATAAGTCGATCTTTAAACTTGGTGGCCATAGGTATGTCGATTTTGCACGATGTACGTTGGAGAGACAGCCAAATTTACAACTTTCAACGTATCTGCTACTGCTTTCTGCTTATGCCTCAGTGGATGAATCCACTACCGATCTTGAAACGTCGGGCGAATAAAAGTGTTGTCCGAGCGACTGAGTCATCTTCTTTTAAACGCAGTTATATTTTTCTTGACATGCAAATGCAATAACTGTTATGTAGGTCTTCTGTTGTACCTGACGATAGACCGTTTAAGTATCATTTTTCTTTACCATCTGGATGTGACTGGAGTATATTGTCCCAAGCACTTACAACTAAATGACAGGTATAATATGGGTCTACCATCTGGTCGGCCAATCACATTTAGGGGCATGTGAGATTATCTGACTTCTCTTAAAATGTGCCCCGTATGAGAAAGAATATATCTGAAGACAAGAGGGCCCCAAAGTATTATAAGGAGGAAGTATTTCTAGCTCTACGTCGCAGTAAGGTTCCCGCGGTCCGTTTAGTCGACGTCGGTTTTGGTGGTGATCATTTAGAATACGAATGGGTTCTCACCGTAAACAAATCTTCACCCTGAAGGATGGCACGCTTCTCGCCCCGTTCTGTCAGGGAAAAAGTGGGAGTTGGTTTGAGATTCTGCTGCTCCGCATCCAACACCTGGGGTGTAAATTCTTTGCGTGGTTCCGGTTGCATGGGACCCATCC